AGGCACCCCCATCCTATGGACTATTATGCAACTCCTAAAAAGAAAGCAGTGGGCCTCAAATATTATATCATGGAAAGACAGCTAAGTTACATGAAATCAAGAAGGGAAGTTGAGGAATAATTGCTATGGTTTGAATGCTTATGTCCCCACAAAATTCCTATGTTGAACTCCTAACCCCCGTTGGTGATTATATTAGTAGGTGCAGTCTTTGGGAGGTGATTAGGTCAGGAAAATGGAGCCCTCGTGAATGGAATTCGTGTGCTTGTTAAAGGAGTCCTGGGACGCCTGGGTGGCTCCACAGGGCCTGGTGGCTTAAACAACAGAAATTTATTTCTTAGTTTTTGAGGCTGGGTTAGGGTGCCTTCTCCTACATACTCACATAGCTGAGAGAGACAGCAAGCTCTGATGTCTCTTCCTCTTCTTATAAGAGTACCAGCCCTATTGAATCAGGGTTCATCTTTATGACCTCATTTAACCTTTATCACTTCCTCATAGGCTCTGTCTCCAAATACAGTCACATCGAGGGTTAGGGCTTCAACAAATGAATTTGGGGGGGGGGGTACATAGACATTCAGTCCATAATATTTACTAAAGCATCATTTCTTATAGTAAAATTATGGAGATAATTTTAGTGTCCATCAATGAGAAATGGACAGGTAAATTATAACATACCCATATTATGTACTAGTGTAGGGAAATGTCCAAATGTGTATATATATATATATATTTTTTTAAAGTAGGTTCCATACCCAGCATGGAGCCCAATGCGGGGCTTGAACTCACAACCCTGAGATTAAGACCCGAGCTGAGATCCAAGAGTGGGGTGCTTAACCAGCTGAGCCACCCAGGCACCCCACCAAAATATATTCTTGAATAAAGCAAGCAAATTGAACAAAGCCACTTGAACAATATATGAATCATCCACATTAAAAAACATACAAAAGACCCTCCAACTATATCATCTCTCTCTGTATAGATAGGTAGATAGATAGTCTGGAAGGAAAAAAATCACACACAGCTATTAGTGGTGACTAATCCTTGGGAATATGGAAAGAGAGGCACTTTTACTTTTCCACTCTGTATAGGCCTAAATAATTTTAATTTATTTTAAGAAGTGAGCAATCGTTACATTTGTAAATCTGAAAAAGTGCGATAAGTAGTTTTTTTTTTTAACTGCTTGATTCCATGAGATAATATCTAGACTAGGTGCTTAAAATATTTTAAAAACAAATGTATTTGTTTATATGAGATATGGTTCCTACATGGCTCAGGCTCTGTGCAGAGCTGCATTTGAATAATCATGGCCCAGAATCCAGAAAGAAAGTACAAAGTAGTTCCAACTCATACTAGCATGGGCTCAAAGAATACTAACCTCTGGTCCTCCACTCTCCTATAGCTCCTCATGAGACTTTCTCATTCTTTCTCATGCCCAAATCTGTTTTTTTTTTTAAGATTTTATTTTTAAATAATCTCAAATCCTCTGCGTAGTCCTCCCTCCCTTTCTCGGCCTTTCTCAGCTCTTTACATATATATCCTTCTAAGTCTCAGGATTTTCTCTAGCGATTGGCCATACTCTGCATCTCAAAAGATCCAAGAACCAGACTGGTGAAGACTCTTCTTCAGTTGGGGGTGGGGAACAGCTTGTTCCCTTTCACATATTAGTTTCACTGATTTCTCCAGATTTAGAATTATGATTCTGTTAATTAATAGTTGATTCACCTGTATTATAGTTTATCTTCCCAACTAGATTGTATTTGGAGAGAAGGTGGGGCACCGCTCTCACTATTTTTATTCCTTCCACTATTTCTTAAATTATTTAATCTGTTGATGTAAACAAGATAATTTAGGGGAATCCTTAAAAAGGCACCAGTGCCCAGAGGCTCCAGGGGTGGGAAAGCCTCTGTCAAGATGTAGTTTTATTTTATTTTATTTTATTTATTTGACAGAGAGAGAGCACAGGCAGGGGGAGTGCCAGGCAGAGGCAGAGGGAGAAGCAGGCTCCCCGAGGAGCAGGGAGCCCGACGCCAAGCTCCTGGGACACTGGGATCATGACTTGAGCCGAAGGAAGTCACTTAAACAACTGAGCCACCCAGGCGCCCCAAGATGTAGCTTTTTTAGAATAATTTCCAGACTCACTCCCAAAGAGTCTAATTGAGGTCTCTGCATTTCTTATAAGTCATATGTTTTCTTCACAGGTCAGAACAGTCTTAGCAGTATTAAAGATTAAGAACTGCACTGCCTCAGAGACTGGACCCACACCTATCCCTCCAAACTCTTTTAAAGGGAATGTTAGCATTGGACTTTGAGCTAGAGCATCCTGTCTTACCACTTCATCCATTTGGGCACTTGGCCCATTTCCTTGTCCCCAGAGTGGGTATAGTCACATCTGCCTCACAGGATCTTACATAGGGACATATTGTGGGTATGCAGCCCTTTTAAAATCTTGCGTCTGGAAAAATCAACCAGGCTTGGTTCTTGCCCTGCTCATATGGAAGAGGTTCACTCAGCCCCCTTTAGGCCCCTAAATGACATAAAGATGAGGGATTTCAACTTCAGAGATGTTTCCTCAGAAAAGAAAGAGCTATAAAAGCAGTTGAGTAAGTCCGGACAGTAGCTACATTTTTTCTCCCCAACAAAGAATAATCAGTAATCCACTGTTTCTGGCACCTGAAGCTTTAACTTTCGGGAAACAATGAACTCTTGAGCCCAAGCCTTCAGGTAAGTCAAAATCCCTAGGCGGTTATGCTTGTCTGGAGGCCTGAGAGGCACGAAGTGATGGAGAAAGGTGAACTGAGCTGCTCTCTGGCTCACTTACAACCGGCTCGCCCTCCATACCTAGTACAGCTAAGGGTTGCCGTCGCCATTTTGCAGGGTGGGCAGCGCAGAATCCTGGCGCTGAGTCGGCCCGCCAGAGCGGAGAGGACGTGGAAGGGTTGGAGGGGGGTAGCGCGCGCTCCAGGGAAAAGCACGCGTGCGCACAGACGGAGGCGGCGGAGGGGTGGGGCCGGGGTACGAGTGCGCGTGCTCGGTGGGAGCCCGCGAAGTACCTGGAGGAGGTGGGGGGCGAGGTAGAAAGGAGTGGGGTTGAAGAGCGCTTGCGCGGGAGGGCGACCGTCCGGGGAGGGGGGCTCCCGAGCACGCGCGCGGAGACGGGACTTAGGAAGCTCTCGCGAGATCTTCACGATGCTATATATGTACGCAGGGAGCCCGCGTCCTTTCCCTGGTGTGATTCCGTCCTGCGCGGCTGTTGTGTGGAACAGTAGTCGTTTATCTCCGTCCGCCTTCTCTTCCACCTAAGTGCGTGCCACCACCCCATGGAAGATTCGATGGACATGGACATGAGCCCCCTGAGGCCCCAGAACTATCTTTTCGGTAAGTGCTGGGGGGTTGGGGCGAGGCCGAACAGGGCCTGGTGGCTTTGGCGGGGTGGGGGGGGGGCGGGAATCTTCCTGAGGCCTGGGCTGGTAGGGAAAGCTAGGCAGCCTAGAGGTCTGAGGGAGGGAAGCGAGGTGCCCAGGCCTTGCAGCCTAAGAGATAGGATAGGCGGTCAGGAGAGGAGAGCTGGAGCTCGAAGCGGTGGAAGGAGGGGCGGCCTGAAGCCTGGGGCCGGAGCGATCCGAGGCCCAGGGCCTGAGGTAACCAGGCCCTAGAACTAACAGGCTGAGGGTTCGGCTTTGCCTGGGGGTACGCGGTAGAGCCACAGGCATGATTTTCTCTCGGGCTGTGTGATTTCGTAGGCTTGTGATTTCCTGGCTGGTGTCTTTGATGCTGGGCCCAGGCTTGGTGCTGGAGGTTGTGGGAGTCCGTGGTGTGGGGCATGGTCTTACTTTCTGGGGGAAAAGGGTATTTAGAGCCTGGTGTTGTCCTCAGGCCTCAAGAGTGCGGAGCTCTAGTGCCGAAATTCTGCCCCGGTGCCTCGGCCGGTTGCGGGGGGAGGGGAGGCGCGGCCGGGCGTGAGGAGGCCGCAACCGCTGGGAGCACGTGGTTGCCACGTGGTTGGGGGAAGGAGGGGGTGTGGGCACTACATCCGGGTCTACTTGGTGTCTTGTCACCCCGGACCCTGGCATCCTGGGGCTTAACTGAAGCTCTTGGGCGGGAAATGTTGGGGGAAGTGGCTAGTAGAGCCAAGATTCTGGAAGTCTTTGTTCAGTGCTTAATATCTATGATGGCAGTTCTCATTTATAGAGCACTTTTTTTTAAATCTCACATTGGGAGATTGAATTAGCCCACTTTGCAGATGACGATACTGATGCTCAGAACTGAAGTGACTTAACGAAGGTGGTACTTGTAGGGAAGTAGAGACTAGATGGATCTAAACCAAGACCCTTGCCTCTAGAGCTGGTGCTTTATGTATTTATGGAGGGGAGGCTGGTGGAAACAGCTCTCTGCCGCGTTGAGCAAACAGCTTTTTTGAAAAGATGGGAAATGTATGTAGGGTTCAGTTTGGGTCAATAACAGCTGGTACTGTTTTGGAATCTTCCCTCCCCTCTCCAGAACGCAGTACCATAGTAGAAAGAGGCCAGCTTTAGTTTTCAGTCTTAATGAAATTAACTGTAAGCCCTATCTTTGTCAGGCTTTGAAGTTAAGTGCAAATCCTGCCCCACATTTGTTTCTTTATGTATCATGCTGATATTTGTTAACTGAGATAACGTTTAGGCATCTTTGTACCCCTCACTGTTAGATGGCAATTAAATGGAATCAATTAAAATTATTCTGATGGTACTTCAAACAACTTGCCTTTTGATGGAATGGGAGTAGATAACTTGCACTATATGTTAAGGTTTTAATTCCTAACCATTTTGAATAGCCAGGTTTCTGATCAGTTTATACCGTATTTTTGTGTTAATCTTTTCTATTGGAAATATTCCTAGGATATATCCTTAAATATAATTTCTGAGGATAATTTAATGTACATTATTTCTGTTAATTTCAAAGATGGGATACTGACCCCTGTAGCAAGTTTTGGTCCTTTTACATTTGTGGTTTTTCTCTTGGAAATATAAACTGTTCATGTAGGTGTTCGTGTAACCATTCTCATTTCTAAATTTGCCACTTCTCTTGGGTGCTTAGGTAGGTAATTCATCTTTTTAAACAGTAGGATTCTATCAATACTGTACATTAGACTTAGTTTCAGATACTGGTTTCAGTTCCAGATTTACTAGCTCTTTGAGCCTGTTTCTACCTAAAAACGGTAATTAGTGTAGTTGAAAATGAAATAGTATAGTGGGAAAGTGGAATTTATAAAGCTGTGTGTGGATGTTATTTGATGTTTACAGACCTTTGTGTTTAGGAAATCCAGGAATAGCTACTTCTGCCTTGCTTTCTGGTATCTAGAACAGTAGAAAATTGTTCACAAAACAACTGTTACCTTTTTGGTTGTCTTCCTTTAAGTTTTCAGTGTTATTTTTTGTTTTTGTTTTTTCCTTCATTACAGGTTGTGAACTAAAGGCTGACAAGGATTATCACTTTAAGGTGGATAATGATGAAAATGAGCACCAGTTATCTTTAAGAACGGTACTTCAATTTTCCAAACTACACTACTTTTCTTGATATCAGCTTATTCCTTTTTGTGCAACTCAACACTTTTCATAATATCTCATAACTGAGTATTGTATATACGTGATAATGTACCTGTGGTATAAAACTTGGCATCTTTACCTCTCGTTTGGTAATCATGTGAAGTTCAGTCACACTACTGTTCATCATTCCATATTTATGTACTTTGCTTCTTTAGCTGCAGTATAAAACCCTTTAGGGCAGCGATGAATCTTTTTTGTACTCCCCAGTAAGGCCTGTAGCCTTATTGCCTAACTTGTGGTAGGTGGCCAGTAAATGTTAAGTGATCCATACTATGGGTAGTTGATACCTACAACTATGCCATCAAATATATTTCTATGCATTTGTTCATATGTGTCAAGTATGAGAAATTGATTGGCAAGGTGACATAAAACTTGAAGAAAATGCACAAATTAGTTTTCTATCAGTGGTAATAATAGGTTTATAATTGCTTTTTTTTCTTTGAAGACAAATACTGGGATTGTAAAATAGAAACTTAAGCTGAAATACTATTTTGTTCACAGGTCAGTTTAGGAGCTGGTGCAAAGGATGAATTGCACATTGTTGAAGCAGAGGAAAGGAATTACAAAGGCAGTCCAATTAAAGTCACAATGGCAACTTTGAAAATGTCTGTACAGCCAACGGTAAGGGCACTTAAACTTTGGGTTCTATGTCAAGGTCTAATTGTATTGAATTAAAGTAGATGTCATTTAGGCTACACCAAGGACTTAGAAGGAGGAATTTCCTTTGGTTCTTCTAGTAGCAGTAGCTGCGTCTTCTGTCGTCACTGTGGTGTTGAATGATCACTCTTGGACATAGTGGTTTGCTACTTGTTTGTCAGAAGTGGAAAAACAGGTTCACTGGTTTGTTCATTTGGCTTACGAGTTTGCCTGTAATGCCTATTAACACAAACATTTTTCTAAGTCTGTTGTGAACAGGTTTTTATACCGAACCTTTAACCTTAGAAGTTTCTCCTTTTTAGGTTTCTCTTGGGGGCTTTGAAATAACACCACCTGTGGTCTTACGGTTGAAATGTGGTTCAGGGCCTGTGCATATTAGTGGACAGCACTTAGTAGGTATGTTATTATGTATTATGTTATCTATTCTCAAATGCAGTTGTTTTGTTCCCTATTTGAAATTTGAAAAGTATGCTTAGTTCTAATACTATTATCTTTGTAATTGTTCAAACGGAAATAATTGGAAAAGTTTTTTTTTTTGCATTTAAGACCTAGTAGAATATTAGCCCTGAAAAGTACTTTGTAAAAAATTTCTGTTCCCAGTTTGCTGTTTTTCTAGTAGAGTCTTTGTTTTTAAATGCTCATTACTGTATGTTAATGCCCTTTTTTCTGAGTTCTTGCTTGTTGGTTGAGTTTCAATAGCGGCTAATAAATTTTATTTTAGCTGTGGAGGAAGATGCAGAGTCAGAAGATGAAGAGGAAGAGGACGTGAAACTCCTTAGTATATCTGGAAAGCGTTCTGCCCCTGGAAGTGGTAGCAAGGTTCCACAGGTAGGTGAAATTACTGTGGATATCGTATTCTGGCCTTTACTTTTGTGATTAAGGTCAGCACTTAATCATGATTATATGGGTGTGTATATTTATATATATATATATATTTTTTTTTTTTAAGAAAAAAGTAAAACTTGCTGCTGATGAAGATGATGATGAAGATGACGATGATGACGATGATGACGAAGAGTAAGTATGCTTTTAGAAGCTTGACAGTTGTATGGGGAGTAGTTTATGAAAATTAATTACTACAGTCATCCTATGAAATTAATACAATTAAAGGGTAAATGGTCTGTGGTTGTCGCTTTGAATTAAAATAGCTGAATTAAAGAATATTTTTGGGATTAAGAGCCTTTAAAACGCTGTAGTGTATTGCAAATTTTCAAAAGAATATGCAGCATTTCCCAAATGTATTTGACTAGGTACACCTTTTTTCTGAAGAAGATTTAGTGAACCTGTGATAACAAGTCTGCTGGTACTTTTTTTATTGAATAGTATATCCTAAGTGGTTGGGTAGAAAGCATCTGAATGGTTCCAGCTACATTCATTTTTTAAGTTGTCACTTGATTTTTTTCCCCCCCATAAAGGATTTTGGCTCATGGTTCTTTAGTCCTTACTGATAAAGTAAGATTCTTCTAAAAGAGATCAAGAAGGGGTGCCTGAGTGGCTCAGTCTGTTGGGCCTCTGCCTTCTGCTCAGGTCATGATCCCCCAGGGTCCTGGGATCAAGCCCTTCAGCAGGGGATCTGCTGCTCCTGCCCCTCCCCCTGCTCTCGCTCTCTCGCGCGCGCGCGCTCTCTCTCTCTCTCTCTCTCTCTCTCTCTCTCTCTCGTGCTCTCTCTCAAGTAAATAAAATCTTTAAAAAGATTAAGAAGATTTTCGAGGAGGATTTAAAATTTGGTTGGAAACAATTTGATGATTGATTTATTAAACTTGATCAGGCTAAGGTAGAGTTACGTGCACACTACAGAATAAAATGCTATTTTAATTGGTCTTTCCTATGTGCAATAATAATTTCTGATAAGTTGAACTTTTAATTACTTGTCAGCTTTGTTCCTGAGTTCCCAGGTTGGTCCATATGTATTTATTGAAAACACAATTCAAATAAAATCTAAGAAAGGCTGATCAAACACATACTAGGTAATGATCAAATAAGAGAGTTAAGTTTTCAGTAACTTCAATTAGCCAAGCTGGTAGTTCTTAAAAAAGACCTTTGAGCATGACAGTTGAAGGCAGAAAGTAGGAAAAGACAGAGTTGAATGCTTAAAAAACTCAAGATGACCTGCATGTCAGACTTAAAACAGTATAGTTCGTGTTTTACTGTTAACTACTTTTGAGAATAGGTATCATTAGTCAGAATTAAAATGATATACCCCAAGAGAAGAATGGGAAATGGACTAAAAAACAAATGAGAAATATGGATGGTGTATGTACTTAAATTTGAATTTTATTTAGTCCTTGATTTTAAATTACCTTTCTGTAGGTTTACTGTTTATGTCCAGTAGCATATTCAGTGAGGAGATAATCCCTCCTAGGAAGGCTTTGGAGTAGGACCCGATGGTTATCTTGATTCTGCTTGGGTTTTGAAAGATTCCCGGTCTTTAAAATGGGTATATTTCCTGATACAACCACAGTGTAGAGTAGTTTTGTGTTCTTCCATGTTCCCTCTAAGTTGTCTTTAAGTTTGGTAATGCGGGAGGAATGAAATAAATATATATAGATGTTAATCAAGGTCCAAGTATAAGGGAAAAGGTGGGTAGTCAGATAAATGTATAGGTAGGGATAGTTAAATAAAACTGATAATTGGTTTTATAAAAATCCTTGTTACCTTGTTTCTAGTGTGGGGAGGAACATACAGGGATTGGGTTCTAAAGTCAAAATTGACAGAATCACTTTAAAATAAAGGACTCTGTATATGTATGTGTGTGTATATATAGCTTTACACGTACTACATGATACTAGACCATCATATTAAATTTACCCCAGTTCTGGAAAGATGGTTTTCTTTGGTGCACAGAGATGAAGTTGCTCCTGTTTTAAATTTAGAGACTAAATGTGGAAAAGAAACATATTTTGGCTAGTATAAAAGTTAGGTTTGTGAAGTAATTAAAACATGAACTAGATCCACTATTAGCTAATACTTAATGGATTTCTCAGATTAGATTTTTCCTCCTAATTCACCTATTTAGAATTAGAATGTACCATTCAGTGGTTCTTAGTTACATTGCACAGTTGTGCAGTCATCACAATTTTAGAACATTTCCTCAAAAAGTAACCATACTATAACCGTTTATATTTCCCGGCTCTAGTCAACCACTAATGTACTTTGTCTTTTATAGATTTGCCTATTTTAGGTATTTCATGTAAATGGAATCCTACATACAATATGTTATTTTTGTCTTTGAGTATTTAAGAACCATGCATGTTGTAGCATTATTAGCACTTGTCTTGATATTACTGAGTTGTAAGAGGTTTTTTATGTTTTGGGACAAGCACCTTATCAGATACAATTCACAAATATTTTTTCCCATTCTGTGGGTTGTCTTTCCACTATTGAGTGGTATCCTTTGCACAAGTTTATTTCTTTATTGCCTTCTTTGTAATTGAAGCATAGCTGACCATATAGTGGTCACATTGTATGTGCACATTAGCTTAAATTTTTATGTTTTTAATGATTCATGAAGTTCGTTTTATTTCTTTTGCTGCTTGTGCTTTTGGTATTAAACCTAAGAAGCTATTGCCAAATCTTCTGAAACCTTTACTATGTTTTATATTTAGATCTTTGATACATTTTGAATCCATTTTTGTGTGGTGTGGTTACGGGAACCAACTTAAATTCTGCCTGTAGATTTCTAGTTGTCCCAGCACCATTTGTTAAGACTTTTTTCACCATTGAATTGACAGTCTGATCACTGTTGCTGAAAATAATTACTATAAATATATGGGTGTATTTCTGGACTCTTCAGTTCTGTTGATGTGTGTCTATCCTTAAACACTGGTAAAACATCTTGATTTCTGTTGCTTTGTAGTTTTTGGGGGTTTCTTTTGAAAACACTTAAGTGAATCCTCCAACTTTGCTCTTTTTCAAGATTGTTTTTGGCTGCTTTGGGTTCTTGAATTTTGATACAAATTTTAGGATCAATTTCTACAGAGAAGCCAGCTGGGACTCTTAGGGATTATGATGAATCTGTAGATTAATTTGGAGAGTTGCCACCTTAGTAAGAATATTTCCACTGATCTGTGAACATAAGATGTGTTTCTATTTAATTTCTTCAAACTGCGACCTCCAATTTTTATTTTCATTCATTTAGTTGTAAAAGAATACAATATTTACCATCTTAACCATTTTTTAAGTGTACAGTTCAGGAGTGCTAACCATATTCATGTTGTAGTAGATATTAAACTCTTTCATCTAGTAATACTGAAAATAATACTCATTGAATGAAAACCCCTCATTTCCATCATTCTCCAGCCCCTGGCAACCACGAATCTACTTTTGGGTTCTATAAGGACTATAAAGATTACTTTTGATGCCTCATTAAGTGGGATCATACAGTATGTGTCTTTCTGTGACTGTTCTGTTTCAGTTAACATAATGTTCTCAAGGTTCATCCATGTTTAACATGGGACAGGATTTCCTTTAAAACTGAATATTCCAGGGGCGCCTGGGTGGTGCTCAGTCGTTTAGGTGTCCGACTCTTGATTTCAGCTTAGGTCATGATCCTCAGGGTCTTGAGATAGACCCCCCCCCCGACCTCATGCTTGCTTGCTCTCTCAAAAATCTGAATATTGTAATAATAACTATCAAAATAATCTGAATATTCCATTAGTTGTATATATGACATTTTCTTATGTGTTTGTTAATGGATATTTGGGTTGCTTCCACCTCTTGGAAATTGTGAATAATGCTGTAATGAAGACGAACATGCAAAGAGCTCTTCAAGATCCTGCTTCTGAATCTTTTGTCAATCAATCCCCCGAAAGTATGAAAGTTCTTAATGTCTTGATTGACTTAAACTTGTAGGTTCATCCAATTTCTACGTATGCTTTTTTGGCTTATGAGTGCATGGAATCAGTAATAATGACTCATTTCATTTGTAGTGATGATGATGATGATTTTGATGATGAGGAAGCTGAAGAAAAGGCTCCAGTAAAGAAAGTAAGTAGGGGGCGCCTGGGTGGCTCAGTTGGTTAAGCGACTGCCTTCGGCTCAGGTCATGATCCTGGAGTCCCGCATTGGGCTCCCTGTTCGGCAGGGAGTCTGCTTCTCCCTCTGACCCTCGCCCCTCTCATGCTCTCCCTCTATCTCATCTCTCTCTCAAATAAATAAATAAAATCTTAAAAAAAAAAAAAAAAGTAAGTAGGATACGATGGTATGAGGTTGTCAGAAATAACTAATAACAGAAATGATGGAGATTTTTTAGTGCTTTTCACTTGTTTTGTAATTAACGAAAGCTGGCTTGGGAGGAGTTAATGATCTCATACTTAAATTAGTCCTGAGTAGGGTTTTCGTCCTAAAAACTTTCCTAGTGGTACAGAACGATATATTTTCTTTATCCATGTGGTCTTCTCCCACTTTGTTAGTTCAGAATGACTGTTTTGTCTTAGCCTGACTGCTGCTTTTGTTATGTGGTTTGGGGAAGTTTTATTTGCACTCATGTCTGTTGTGTAGGAGGGCATTGATTAAGATTAATTTCTAATTGCAGTCTATACGAGATACTCCAGCCAAAAATGCACAAAAATCAAACCAGAATGGAAAAGACTCAAAACCATCAACACCAAGAACAAAAGTAAGTGGCAATATACAAAAACACAGCTTTCATTGAAGTAGTTAGAAAAATTAAAAATTCTCCTGTGAAAGAAGCTAGTCTGAAATTTGACATTGTTTGGAGAATACTTGTAATTGGTGTCTCAAAGAGCTAAAGTGTGCTGGCTGGTAATTATTGTCTAGGTGTATGCCTGCTGGCATTCTAGTGGAGGAGGATGCCAACAGAAAGATTTTTATTGCATTACAAACAGTTGTGTCCTGTAAGGAGTTGGTTGAAAGTATTATTTTAAGGCATAGTGCAGTTTTTCAACCCTGGCTGTGTGTGAGAATCTAACAGCTTAAAAGAACCACAGTACCTGGGCTTGGAGATTATTAGAAGCTACAAGATGGGCCTCAGGCATTTCAAGCTGCATTTACTTGCTTCATTCTTGGGGCCTTTGGGTTTCAATTTTGAAACCTTTTAAGTGTAGAACTGATCTGGTGTGGAATATAAAAGCAAGCTCAAACTATTCCTATTCCTTTTTTAAGGGATGATGTTAAGAGAAAATTATTGTTCAGACATTAAAATAATGTGACTATGGTTGTGTACATTTTACAAGGAAGGATTGTAAATAAGAGTGATTTTCTTGAGAAAATCCAGGTAGATAGGGGATGGGTCTTAAAAGAGCTGTACTCTTAGGGACCTTTTGAAATTCACCTTTTTTTTTTTTTTTCCCAGGGTCAAGAATCTTTCAAAAAACAGGAAAAGACGCCCAAAACACCGAAAGGACCTAGTTCTGTAGAAGACATTAAAGCAAAAATGCAAGCAAGTATAGAAAAAGTGAGTAAAAGGATCTTTCCTGAAAAACTAGATAGGTTTATTCCTTCCTCTGTTAAAATAATAACCATTGTGAAGGCTTGGAACTAGATTGTTTATTTTTTTTATTTTTTATATACCTGCCCCTTTTTGTTTTGTTTTCAGAAATGGATTGTTTTTTATATTCATTTCTAATCATGAGTTTTCGTGTGTGTACTTGAATTTATGTGTATTTTATTTTCTTTTATAAAAGAAATACAAGTAAGTTTTAAGATTCATTCTGACCTTAGTTCGATAGTTTCCTTTGCTTGTTCTTTTCTTAGTTCAGTAGTTTCCTTTGCTTGTTTTTTTTGGTTGTAAGATGCTACAGAACCAGCAGAGGGCGTGTGAGTCTTTTATAAAATTGCAAGCCTCTGGAAAAGTGGAGACCGTCTGGTTGCTTGTTGGTATAGTTAAAAAATACTCATGACTGACTCTAGTCAAACATTTTCCAGCAAATTTGAGTCCTTTCTATTTGCTTTTTGTACTAAGATATTACTGGTCGATATATGTGATATCTTGAATCTTTGATATGCTTACATTTAGTTGCCTTGTGTCTTAGGGGAAATGTGAGAAGAAATTAGCTCTCATCCTGCTGCTTATTGATTGGGAAACTAAACTTACTAAACCTTAGTGAACTTGGACTTGTAGAATAATACTGAATAAACAGTTTAAATGTCTTGAAACATTTGAAAAAAGCTAATTTTGTGAGTTAAAATATAAGACCCCAATTGGTGAGAGTAAAGGTGGGATGGGATGGTGAAGAAAAGTTGCTGACTCCTTTCCCCATGTTTTTCCTGTGCTAAGTTTTAACCTGGCTTCAGTAGATTTCCTTGTGCAGTGAAGAGTCAATTGGAAAAATAACATTTAGAACCAGAATGTGTGTGTTTTTGCTTTAGTACTACTGTATACCTTTCTAGCTTCTGGTATCACTGCTTTATTTTTACCCCTTGCATACAATGCTAAAATGACATCTTTTAGATTCCCCCCCCCCATTTTAATATGGTCCTATCTCCTTGGTTTAATTACAGGCGAATTGAACAGTCCTGGGCACTACTGGTAAATTAAACCCAAAGCTGGGGAGAGAAAAAGGAGAGACAAATATAGTCCATACTGACTGTCATCAACAATCCAGACTGAAGTCTCAGATCCCCTTTCCTGATTTGCCACCCACCCACACCCCCTTCCAGGCTGGAAGCAATCTCATTCTTGATCTCCCAAAGCACTTTTCTTTTGACTGCTGTGCTTCAGTGACCCCTTACACTTGGCTTTCTATGATGTGTGCATTTGCCTCACCTCTTTGACAATGTTTTAATCACTTTTGTATCTCCCTAGCTGCTCAATAAATATTTTAATGAATCAAATAAGAATGTATGTGACAATAATTTAAAAATGGAAATTACAGTGAGGTTTATTTTCTAGATTATAGAGGCAATTTAAGGATCTTACACCATACCTCTGATCACTAGCCTATTTTGTGCCATGATTTCTTTGGCATTCTGAAACCTTGATCTTTTAAAATGCATAGAAGATTCAGGTTACAAGGAAAATTAAAATTTAGTTATCAAAAGAGGAAACAAAGAGGATATACTTAGTATGTTAAATAAGATCATTCAAAAGTAGTAAGTATTAAGTGATAAACAATGTTGATTTCTTTGTATATGGTACTCAAAAGGGGGGTATACATTTGTATTTGGTTCTGGGTGGTATATAATAGAGTAGGCAATCAAACTGACATTTGAGTGCCTGAAGAATCTCAAGTGTAGCTTATATTTTGTATTTTTAGAGTGGTTGGAGAGAATTTGAAACTGACAAACCTATCAATATGGGAATACTATGAAAGATCTAGGTTTTTTTCTCCCTCTTTTATTTAAATGCAATTGATTGACATAAGGCGTATTATTAGTTTCAGAAGTAGAGTTCAGTGATTCATCAATCTTCTGTAATACCCAGTGCTCATTACATCACTGTGCCCTCCTCAATGAAAGGCCTAGGTTCTAAATATTGTTGCCCAGTAGGTGTTTCTGGGCCTAAAAACAAAGTATTGAAATGAAAGAGTTGAATGGATATGGAATGAACCAATGATCCATGTAATAGCATGAAAATCTGTGAGGAATTTCATAATATCTCAAAAACAGTGTTTCTGTACTTATCCTTAATAATGCTTTTGTCTCCTAGGGTGGTTCTCTTCCCAAAGTGGAAGCCAAGTTCATCAATTATGTGAAGAATTGCTTCCGGATGACTGACCAAGAGGTAACTGAGTTTTCAGGAGACATGACCAAATCCAAATATTTTATTGTGATTTATTTATTTATAATTCTTTTAGTTTCTTTAAGTGTTGGCTTCTTTTAAAAGGTTCCTAACCACAGACAGTACTTCAGATTAAATATATGGAAACTTAAGAGTTTAGTTGGCAGAGATTGAGATGACTCTTTAAGTATGTTTTTCTCAGCTTTTTATATAGTTGGTAAATTATCTCTTGGTTACTGAACTCACTTTTACTTTTGGTACTCTGTTGGCTAAGGGAGTATTCTGTGGTTTTCCTTGCTGCTCCATTTGAGTACTTGAGGTAGTCTGGACTTTTGCTTTCTTGTGCGTTGGCAGAGACCATTTTCTCCATAGGTCTTAGGGGAAGCACATTTTTCTAAAATCAACCTAAGTGTAAAACCTGGAAGCAAGAGGCCAAATTGTAGTTAGTACTCAGTATATTAGTTTGAGTCAGCTGTTAAGTTTTGTATTTCTTACACATTATTTTGTCAATAGAAAAAAATTCATGCATTTTTATTGTCTTATTTATGGTTGCTGACTCAGATTTTAAAGGAAAATGTAAAAACAGGTAAGGTTGCTAGGTGTCTTGTATATACAGAATATTCTGTGTTAAATGGTTTTTGTCAACCCCTAAGCCTCAACTTTTTTCAGTAAATGAAGAACTTTGTCAGTTTGAGCTAATTTTCTGCCAGTTATTTAGTACTTAGATGACTTAAATGGCAGCACTTATTTTTCTCCAGTTTGAAACCCTTTGAAGTGTTTCAACACTGTTTACTATTGTTGAGTTCAGCCTTTGTTTACATGGCGATGAAATTCAATATTACACTCTTTTGGTTGCTATTCTGTTTGTGTACGTTTGAACCCCAAAATGCCAAGTGTGAATTTTCTGAGTAGTGGACATTTGTTAAAACAAAAATCCTTGTGAAACCACAATATGCAATTGTTAGTTCAGTATTGCATAGTGGAAAGTAAGATGTAAACCAGCATTACTAACAAGGAAGCATAAGACAGATGATTTCTCCCACTAGTACCAAAGAAAGTGAAATATAATTTGTGATTAAGACAAATTCAGGGGAAATAAAATAACCAAAGTTGTAAAGGCCTTCCACACAGTGTATTATCAGTCTTGGCAGCTGAAATGACTGAACTCACTGCCTTCAGGAGTATTTTCTGAGTCTAAAATTGAAAGCCTATTTTCAAGTGCAAGGGTGAAATTTCTGCAATATTAAAAAGTAGTTCTGTTTACTGTTACAGAGATTATCAAAACTAAATGCCTGTTTTTACAGCATACCCACAGATAAAGATCACAACGTATAAAGAAATTTTTCCATTGCTTGTGTAATTTTTCTTGTGAAAAAGAGTTGCTTATGAGGATTTGGCTAGTAAAATCCCTTCCAGATGGGACTTAAGAAATACTAGCAAATCTTTGCAGAAGCTCTTGAATTAAGAGTTAATGAAAACAATTGTACTGCTTTTTGTGGAGAAATGACAGATCAAATTTTGGTGAATATTTATGTAAAGATACAATGTTTACTCAAAGCAGTGATGATTCTACAAAAGGTGTTTTGCTGTCCTCATTCTACATAGTACTATTCAAGTGACATCTGATGTTTCTTTTGACTGGAGTGTCATGTGATTGTTCTTAAACATTTATATTGAACTGAATGAACGGAGGGTTTTTGTGAGAGTTACTCACATTTAATACTCCGTTCTCTTGTGTTTGAAACCCAGTGGTGGTTGAATAATAGTTGAGAGAATCCTATCTATCTGAAGCACTGAAATCCTGCTTTTGAAGAAAAGACTCCAAATGTTCTTAGTGACATTTTTAAATGTTCATTGAATAAAGCCTACTTATTTCTTACATATAGTTTTAAATACCTGTTTAGCAGTAGGATTATGTAAATTCAGAGAAGTTCAAAAAACTCATTGAAGTACACTCCATTGTTTAAAGGAATTTGTTGAATCCTGTAGAATTGACAAATATCAAGACTTTTTTTATTTATATTTTCAAAGATTTTTTAAAGTACCCTCACATCCATCACAGGGTTTGAACCACAACCCCAAGATCAAGATTTACATGCTCCACCAACTGAGCCAGCCAGTCATCTCAAGATGAAAAAGAACGTTATTTATGAATAGGAAAAGAAATGCCAACTTGAAGTGGATAATTAATAACTAGTTAACTGAGACTGTCATATTTAAAGAATGATTCTTTTATATGGATGTTAATACTAGCATGAGAACAAGTGTAGATTTCATTATGTGTCAAAGGAGGACATAGAAATGGACAGGGATACTCTTTGTCAGTAGACCACATTAAATCATTAGATTTTAAGAATGGAAAAGCAGATTATGTCTTGGGAGATTGGTGTTAAGTGATTTAACAAACCCAGATAAGAACAAGTCTGAGTAGTTAATCTGGTGTGTTACGAGTAAATATAATTTTTTAGTATGTATTCCATAGGCTTAGAAATAAATGTGTTTAACTGTGTGTTCTGTATTTTTATGTGCTAAATCTGGCAGCCCTAAAGCAGATGACGTAGGTCAAACTGGCCTCTCTACTCTTGAATTTCATTTATCTAAGCTGTTACATACTAGTACCATTGACTCTGCTTTACAAAGATTCACATGATTTTATGTCTGATTTGAAGTATTTGAAATTAAATTATGTCTGAGTATAAATTTCCTTGAAATCAGTTCTTAATTATGTAGTGGACCTTTTTGGTGGTAGGATGAAAAATAGATATGTTGAACTGTACAAAGAGCCATGGTTTAATTTATTGGTGTCTATGAAGTGTTGTGGTTCTTTAACTGCATTTCTTTTCTCTTTTTTTTCCAGGCTATTCAGGATCTCTGGCAGTGGAGGAAGTCTCTTTAAGAAAATAGTTTAAACAGTTTGTTAAAATTTTCCGTCTTATTTCATTTCTGTAACAGTTGATATCTGGCTGTCCTTTTTATAATGCAGAGTGAGAACTTTCCCTACCGTGTCTGATAAATGTTGTCCAGGTTCCATTGCCAAGAATGTGTTGTCCAAAATGCCTGTTTAGTTTTTAAAGATGGAACTCCACCCTTTGCTTGGTTTTAAGTATGTATGGAATGTTATGATAGGACATAGTAGTAGTGGTGGTCAGACAAATGGAAATGGTGGGGAGACAAAAATATACATGTGAAATAAACTCAGTATTTTAATAAAGTAGCACTGTTTCTCTTTTCTGTTATTTACCCTTCTTATACTTTGTCAGAGAAATAAATGTACATAGTTTAAAGTGTCAAATAATACCCTAAAATCCCCTAAGAAGCAGTCCCTGCCCTACCCCTCCAAATAGTTCTGCTTCTCAGAGTTAACCCTTCTATCTTTCTTGAGCATTTAATGTTTAAAGCTTCTCACCTCTTGAGAACAGATGATAATTATGACCATGCAAGTGTGTTTCCAAATGTTCAGTCAAACCACCTGTCCACATTAGCTCAGTTTTTACTGGTAAAATGTGGCATGTTTACACCTTGCAGCAGCTTTTCTCAACTTGGGTTCTTAATCTGAACAAGAACAGAAAATGAATTCTGTTGGCTGTTTTTTGAATTTGCCCAAAATAGCACATAATTTATACATTTTTAGATCCATAGGGAAAGGATTAATTTGCATGTGGTGGTTACAGGAGGACTTTCAGGGGCTAATCCTTGACATCTTTTATCTGTTTTACCCTGTGCCAGTTGCATGATGGTTGTGGTTAGATTACTATTCTTCCTCTTATTTTCACTGTGGTGTCTCCAGGTAGTTTGCTAATATATGGAGGAAGTATTTTCTGACTAATACTAATCTTGAAAAAGTAAATTTTTGACATAAAATTCAGTGCTGCTAAATCTTTTCCTCAGAATTTTAATTGTGCCCTTTATGGCTTAGTCTATTGCCATTTTCATGTGTTGTTTTGTATATGACCAGTTTTCCTGAGAACTGATTAAGATTGCCCTATTGCTGGTTTCCTGAAATTTTATAATTTTTCTTGTTCTGGGACTTGGGTAGACTGGGTCTGTTCTCCACAGATTCTCCAGTTTGGGGGCATGTTCTTGGGAGATTTTGCTCTCCTGCTTAACCTCTATCTGTTCTTGGGCCTTTTGTTTGATGCTGTTGGATGTTTTTCATCATTCCTCTTTGTTTAAACTTCAGGAGAAAGGACTATTTTATGTCTTCAAATTTGTGTTGGTTTTATTAACTTATAGATGCTCTTCCTTGGTGTTTGGGGACATATTTAAAGTTTGAAGGAACCCTTTTCACCCCATGCATTGTTTACTCTTTTTTTTATCCTGTCTTAACATTGATTAGGAGGATTGCTTTCTTTGATTAGGCTGTAGTTCAAAATACTTTGATGGGAATGAGCAGATATCAGCCTTTTTGGAATGGTTTTGGTAGAGCAACCACTTTTTTTTTTTTTTACTTTTTTAAGTAGGCTCCACATCCAATGTGGGGCTTGAACTCAAAGAGTCAGAGATGCCCTAGGGGCTGAGTCAGCCCAGCAGGGGCTCTGAGTAACCTTACTTTTGGAGGTTGGGAAAGGTTGGTTCAGTACTGTCTTTCTAAATCCCACTTTCCAGGCTTCAGGTGCCTCTTCTAGTCATTGACTTCAGGTTTTGGTTTCCTTCATTGATTATTCCGTTTCCTCTGCAGGGTGTCCTTGTAGCTTCTCTCCTTTTATATCTTATTTTAATGGAGATTCAGTTGGAAATGGTAAATCTTCATTGTTCTTAGTTTCACTGGAAAGTACATCTATTTTAAAGGATGTTTTTATGTTTAATGTTTAAAAGATCATCTACTTTAAATTCATAGAATCTCAAAATGCTTAACCTGCACATGAATTTGAAAAATTTATTAGTGTTAAATAGTGCCACAGAGTGTTAACTAAGAACTATAAATACATTAAAGATGAATCATTCCTTCCCTAGATAGTGTTTCACATCACAGTATATGATGATGTAGGACTATATTAGGTAATTAGTTACTTAAAATGTTCAGAAGTAGATGTATACTTAGGTTTTAATGACTTAACCAAAATGTAGGTCTGATAGGTTTATTATTTCAGTTGCTTTGTGTAGAAGTTAACCCTTGGGCTTAGCTGATGGGTACTTAATGTAGCAGGAAAACTGAAAGGACTTCCCATTCTGAGGGAAAGCTGTTGGCCTTACTGGTGGTCCTGTTCTTGCACGTTCAGTTAAGCTGATCAGATCCATCTTTGTAAAAGATTGCAGGTAGGGCATGTTTCCTTGTGCCTCCAAAGTCACTTAATAGTGCTTGGTACTGGACCTCAGCCAACAAAATATGGTAATCTGAAAATTGAACTCCTAGGCTTGTGACTAGAAATTCTTTCTTTAAAAAACACTTGTGTGCAGTGCAAACTGTTAAGTGAGATTGGCCATACTTAGATCAATATTGGTTTAATTGCTAAAAAGCATACAGTTGAGGTACTTAGGGAAAACTAAAAAATTTTAAAGCATTTTTAGTTTTCTAAGACTAATAAGGAAAAAATTATTTCCCTTTGTCCCTAGTAATTTTTTTTTTTAAGATTTTATTTATGGGACACCTGGGTGGCTCAGTTGGTTAAGTGTCTGCCTTTGGCTCAGGGTCATGATCCCAAGGTCCTGGGATCAAGTGCCACATCGGGCTCCTTGCGCAGCAGGGAGCCTTGCTGCTCCCCCTGCTTCTGCTCTCTCTGACAAATAGATAAAATCTTTAAAAAATTTTTCGTCCGTGAGTGCACAAGCAGGGGGAGCTGCAGGCAGAGAAAGAAGTATCCCCACTGAGCAAGGAGCCCAATGAGGGACTTGATCCCAGGACCTTGGAATCATGACCTTGAGCCAGAGGCAGACACTTAACTGACTGAGCCACCCTGGCATCCCCCTAGTACTAATTTTTTTTCTTTAAGATTTTAGAGAGGGAGTCAGGGAGGGGTGTGGGGAGGGTCAGAGGGAAAGAATCTCAAGCAGAGTCCCCACTGAGCAGGGACCCTGAAAAAAGGGACTTGATCTCAAGACCCTCATATCATGACCTGAACTGAAATCAAGAATCGGCCACTTAACTGAGCCACCCAGGCGCCCCTAAAGTACTTTTTGATGGAATAACTATATTTCCCTTTCTTAAGCCAGTCTGTTGAATATGAATGTTTAATGGCTTAGTTCTTTAGCAATACCATTCACTATTTTGCAGGCATTTTCTTTAAAATCCCCACTTGTATTGCCTCTACCTGACTTTTGAAAAACATGTTTTAATGTTCTGTTCTTTACCAATTTTCAGAATGATAGGTTGATGTTCTAGCAACCTCTGAAAGTAGTGAGGTGTTTTTTTTTTTTTTGGGAAGTAGTGAGTTTTTTTTTTTTTTTTTTTT